AAAATAATTCGTATTAGTTTTGTGATGTTTAATTACAAGTTAGAGTCAGAGTTCCTATTAACTCACAATGTTATATATCGTAAAAACATTTGATTGAATATTGTATTTATTTATTTGCATATTATACTCTTTTAGGGCCACAAATCTACATATCGTTTATGGGCTGCTCTAATGATTTCACATTTTGACATTCAGTGGTGTCCACTGCAATCAACTCATGAAGTGGTGCTAATTTAACGCACGTGTAGCATTAAAAAATAAATAAAGAAGGAAAATCTCAAATAAATACACGTAATTTTTACAAAATATATTACGATATAATTTTGTAAATAAATACAACAATACATATTCATAATATTGGAAGTTGAAGGTAACTAGAAGTGGTCGTCTAAGTAAATAGTTACGAGTACATTTAAAACTGTGTGACCTATTTTTCACCTCTGGGATAGGACCCCTCTGGATTTAATTTTTTCAATTTTTAATTATAACTCTATTTAATTCAATAGAAATAAAACATTTATATTGGTTCAGCCTTATGCAAGAAATGGATGATGAAATATTCTTTTTTGTATTCGGTAGCGAATAAACTAAGCGTTTGTCTGCAAGGCTACGGGCCGCGGGTTCAAAATTAATTGTTGCCTGATGTGGATATTTGTTCTTGTTCAATTTATGTATATAATACGCGTCTTACAAAAAAATTCACAATGACTAAACAAACATATTCACAATACGATTAGGATTCGCCACCTCATCTTCCAATGAAAAATATAAACATAATGAAAAAAATATAATACATTATAATACCTAAACTCTCACGAATGTCACCGAGAGCCCAGAGGGAGAGAATACAGACTTCTATTTTCCACTATTATGACATACCTTAATCGCTTCTTTTACTTTTCCTATTATAATAGATAATATAAACAGATTAATACAAGCAATGTACATAATATCTATATAAATAAATAAAATTGAAGTGTCTGTTTGTAATGTCAAAATACCAGCTTTTTACTAAATGCATGAACTTATAACAAAAACACAATTTTTTTAATTTTTGTCTGTCTGTCGGTCTGTCTGTCTGTTTGTTCCGGCTAATCTCCGAAACGGCTGGACCGATTTCGACAGGACTTTCACTGGCAGATAGCTGATGTTATAAGGAGTAACTTAGGCTACTTATATTTTATAAAAAGAATTAGGATTCCGCGCAACATAATTAAAACCCTAAATTACACGCGGGCGAAGTCGCGGAGAACAGCTAGTATTATATATATTACGTTAGTTATTACTTATTAACATATGTCAGTGCGCTTTACAATCTTCAGCTACATTCTCACTTTTCATCACGTGGGATAGTTGTGTTTTATTTCCAAATAAAGCTGTTCGTGTTTTTTTAATTGCTTTAAGTTCTAATCAAAGTCAAAAAAATCTAAAATATTTGAAAGTTTATAAAAAAATACCTTTCTCTTAATTATTAGATACTATTAACTTTTTCCATCACACTCATATTTGCAATTACTGCCATATTTTACAACCACTAACATAATAATTAAGTTTGTAAATGTTATTCAATGAAAAATAAATCGCACGTCTATTTCCCAACCCAGGAGACCTCAAAGCAAGTTAAACCGACTGCTTAACTCAGTGTAACAGAATCACCTTGGATTGCTTTTCGATATTTACTGTTTGATTTTTTCCCCTCGTGTCGAGATTTGGGACATTTACCGGAAAGAGGCGTGTACCGGTTGACGGTAATGGCCGGTGGGACCGGAGGATACGTAACCTTTCTCATTAACAATTTGCCTTACACTCCATGAGGTGCTATCTGATCACTTGTGTACTTTTTGCTTGAATATCGTTTTTAAACAATAAGAAAACACCGTATTGTAAATCGTTCGTCTAATTAAAGTCTTATCAAGATTAATTACCCATGTTTAAACTCTGTGCAATTTTTTTAATTAATGAGCATTATGTCTAATATAAAACTATTCATAATAATGAGAATTTATTTATGCTTAAGACTGTTAAGCTTCATTTATTTTCTAGGTGGTAGGATCCCTCTTATCTAAAAGCACATTGCACTCCGGTGTGTCAGTGCAAGTACTAATACCTAGTGCTTGTATTGATGTGTTAAATTATAAAACGTCAGTATATATTTTTTTATATAGGATAAGGGTGACAAACGAGCAAGAGCAAGTGGTTGCTGTGGCCCATAGACATCTGCATCTATCCTCGATTACGAATCAAAATGCAGATGCGTTGTCACCCGTGAGGACTAAGATGGAATGCCTCGTTTCCAGTAAAAAGGGTCTCCGGTTCTCTACACTCACCATACGAAACACAGCAGCATTAAGCTGCTATTTTACGCTGGTATTCTGTGAGAGAGTGGTCCAATTACATGATGTTAGGCATTCCGTCTTAACCCTCAGAGGTGACAATGCATCTGTGGCCTTCTATATTTAAATTTGGTTGCAGGTGTCCTTGGGCTGCATCGTCAATACCATGAGATGGTCTGTAAGTTTGTTTGTCACCTCAACTTTATAGAAAAAATTATTCGGAATTTAGAAACGAAAAAATACCAAATTCACTCCCTCCGACTTTTAGATGCATACAAATAAATAAATAAATAATTCTGCTGCGCACTAAGTTTATTGAATTTATCATGCGCAAATATTTATTGATGGGGACGAAACTAGATAGGGCAAGAAATTTATTGAAAACAAAGGCCAATCGGCATACATAGGTAGGTCGGATAGATTGACATTGGTAGCAATCAGACAAATTGGCTCCAAACCCCTCTAACCGAATTAATCTGATACGTAGGTTTTCTTAGCGCAAACTACTTCGATAAAGAAATATGAGCAGAGGGCCAAAGATACTCATCTAAATTTGATATTATTTATTAAAGAATAAAAAAACGAGGTAATATTATACCTATATATTTTACTATTTATAAAGTATACACGGGGAGTAGTACTTTTTTGTTTTAGACTACAAAGATATAAACCGGGCTTTAAGTAATCCAAACACCTTGATTACGGAACAATGTTTTCTTTACTGTAAAACATTTTGGCTATCATTACGACCTTCATCAGTGTTAAACAATATAATTAATTTTTATAACAATAAGTAATAATTAGGTATAATTTTAGTGTTTGTAAATATTTTTTTTAATTGCAATATTTTTGTAATCATAATTGTTATCTGAATTATATCTTCCATACATAGATTATACATAAATATCTTTAACATAATGATGGTTACAAAGGCTCGGATATATTCTATTTTTTCAGACTTCCGTCTACATTCGTCCCGGCACATGTGTCTACTTTAATAAATTCGACAAATCCACCTTAAATAAACAGAATAGGGGGTATTCCCGCTTTTGCCTCATCCCGGCTAAACGATGCTTAAGATATTTATTAGGGGATGAATTGAGTTTTTAGATATTAGACCTCTTTTCTGTCTCATTTCTTAACATAAATAAATGTAATCCCACATGATTAGGTGAATAATAATATTAGGTCAATATATTTAAGTATATGTTATGGACCAATGATTAATAAGGGCACTATTTAAAATGCCATTATGGGCTATTTATTACATTGTCTGGTTGTTATGAATATTGCCACGTAACTCAATAACTATATAAATAACTCAATTAGTGGTAGAGCCACGCGGCAGCTTTTGCTGTCGCACGGATGGGCCGGCTCAAACCGGGGTGGTACCACGACCTCACAGAATACCAGCGTGAAGTAGAGGTTTACCTCTGCGTTTCGCTTGGTGAGTGCAGGTGGCCGGAGGCCCTTTTTACTGGAAATGAGGCCTTCCATCTTAGTCCTCACGGGTGACAACGCATCTGCATTTTGATTCGCAAACGAGGATAGATGTAGATGTCTATGGGCTGCAGCAACCACTTACCATCAGATGGACTGTGTGCTCGTTTGTCACCCTTATCCTATAAAAAAAACTGTTGCACAATTTGATATAACCTAACTTAACCATGTTCATACTTTAAGTTGTTAAAAACATTATAATATTATTATTCATATGGTTTTTTTTTTTTCTTATCGTTTTCAGTAAAATGGGTATCCGGTTCAAAATTACTGTATAAATTAAAATACTTATTATATAATATATTATCCGATAATTTTTAATTCTTTCAATATTATATTTTAATTTATTTATGGTTAACGATTTTATCATTATAATTCACGCGGCTTTAGGGTGGCGCAAGGGCCATCCTAACCGCCTCTTAACCTACTGTCACTGATATTCCAACATTGGTGTAACGTTTTATTAGAACCCGTGGGTATCCTAAGAGGCGACTAAAGGAAACTTATTTCTGATGGTAAACTGCAGCCAACTTCAAATGAACAAGCTCCCTAATATTATAACCTAATGTTAAATGACCTGTAATTATAGTGGCTCTATAAACCCTCTAGAGCGGACCACAGAAGTACAAGAATTGCTAATTGGTGGCAGAAATAAGGAAGAGTCGGAAGACGAACGCAGAAAAGGAGTCCTGCCACCTATAAAGTCAGTAGAAGAAAGTTCCCGAAAAAATTAATTGATAATTTTAAATAATTGGGGCTATAAAATTTTTAGTTTTATACCAGATAAAATGAAATCCCCAAACCGGCAAAGGAAAACAACATTACATATAGGTACGAGACATCCGGTAATATGATAGTCAATCCGTCTGCCGAACTTGACGATTTAAACATATGTTGCCAACTATAGGTGAGGCTTATTCTAAGTCCAGCAGTAGACTGTTTATCAGAAAGCTAATAGATTTTATGTTACTTACAAAGAAATAACATCAAATATGTTCCATGCGATTGTTATATACGATTTATGGCGTTACAGGTTACAGCCCTCACAAACATCATGCAGTATTCATCCCCCTTGAGAAACATCCCTCATTGATACAGAAAAACTGATTATCTAATTAGAAGAAAGCCACTGCGAAAGTCTTCTAACTGCGGGCTAATCAGAAATTAATGAGCGCTTGTAACCGAGTGTCGTGGTACGATGATAATTCCGCGCCGCCCTGCTGCGCTAAGAACCTCATCAATTATGGTGGAGCCACCCCCGACTGGGCCCTGAAGGCTACAGTACACCAATTTGTCACCGCTTCTCTTGACGGAGTTTCCTTGTTCTATAGTGCAATTTTTTTTAATTTGCTCAACAATGTGTTTTGCTGTGATATCGAAGCAGTAGGTGATGTTTTCACAGTTTAGAATGCTTGTAAAAGTAAATTCATACGAGTATACTTCACTTTAAATAGTTTCAAAGTTAATATATTATCGAGATAAAGGTTCACTGTCATTTCTTATCTAAACTTAATTCCATACATATCTTTAATTAGTAGCGTAAAAATATGTTATCTTTTGACTTCTCAATTTATTTTATCTTAGTTAAAATTATATATAGAATGGTTTAAATTATATGTAGGTAATTACATATAAAATTATATCTATATAAGTGCAAATTTCACAAAAAAAAAAAGCTTTTTTTTTGCTTTTAAATAATTAGAATTCAGTCAATTCATTCGAAACAACAACAAAAAATAGACAATTCCCTAATTAATTAACAAAGTTTGAAATAGACTAGATACTAAATAATTTTAGTAGATAACTTCACAGTAATATAATAGTTTTACATTAAAATTGTAAGGATAATAAGTTATCATGCATTTTTAATTTGTTTTCTAAAATAAAATAAAGCAATATTAAATATGGAAAACTAGGATTTTACATTAGTTTAAGAATAAAAATAAATATTACAAATGATTATAATTAATCATAAAGTATCTTTACGACTTGTCTATTCAAAGCAAGCCACCGCCCAGCAATAACTAATGGCATCTAAGCAGTTGTTGTACCGGCACTAAACACTTCCGCTCCAAACCGCACTTGATTTGTTGTTCCGTCCGTACAAGAGTTACTGTCTCCAATGTTTGAAACATTTGGATCCATATGGTGGCTCCCGATTTACGTAACAATAAGTAAATCGGGAGTAGAGTAGGGAGTAAAAGTTTGTGCAGTAATTTAAATGCCAATAAATTTCATTTAGAAACATTTTTTGTAATTTGTTGGTTAATGAGGGCTCGCTGAGGCAGTGGATAAGTGGCAGTGGTTCGGATCCAGCATAGAACTGATTTTTGTATGTCCTACAAATAATTGTGCCGGGTATATTTTAGTCCATGTGCAAATCATGTACCTATGTAAATGCCTCTAAAATATAGGAGAAAATCAAAACAAAAAATTAATTTTCATTAAGAAAAAAAAATAAAAAATTTATACTATACTAAAGGCACATAACAATTACAAATTAAGAGAAAATTTAGAATTTTATTTTAACAATAACTAACTCGAACAAACAAAAGTTACTTAAATATTTCTAAAATAAGTGAGTTATGTATTGTTTGTAGAATAGAAGTTTTATTTGGCAGTTTGTAATTTAAATGGGTTCGCCCTAAACTGGCTCACGTTGTTATGCCATGAATATAAATCGTGATAAATTCCTCGCGGGAGAAGGGCGGGTTGTACTGGGGCGCGGGGCGAGGAGGGGCAGCCTCGAGGGCTTTTTTCTTAAAAATAACTTTTATCGAGGCAATTCGGTGGAGCTACGCGATTTATGGAAAGGTGGTGTCACCCCAGTAATTAGTTTTTAACTAGTTGTGATAAGGGTCCTTTGTTTTATGACCTCCCGGTAATAAGTTAAACCGCCGAATGTTCGCCGTTCGAATAAAGATGAGCTTAACTGGCAAAACGTTAATAATAATTACATTTGAAATAAGCAATCATAGGACCGTTTTTGCACAAGAAACTTTCACCAAAACAAAAGCGTTCCAAGCAATTGTTTCGTCGATGCGGACGTGTCACAATATTTTTATTGTAATCCATATTTTGTGCCTTTTCGGGCCGTCATATCGTGCGGGTATACGTATGATTTACACCCCACAGAAACAGTGAAAAAAATACGAAAGTTCTTCCAAGAAACTTCTTTTATTCTGAGAGAAAGTTGCGTAAAAAACTGGAGACGCTTACAAAAAAGCAATTTTCTAGCTCAGGTGTGTGAGATGTTCTTTATCTAACTTTGCATCCGAAACGCTTTGTTTATGACACCATATTTTTACAACTTTTGAGCATTTTATTACCTTTTACCGTCTAAATATACTTTTGCACAATCAAAAGACCTCTGGCAGCAGAACAATTGCTGTTTAGAAATACAACCTTTTATAAAATTAACTTTGCTACCTGTATCTTTAATTTCACGCCGCTAAAAAGAACAATTAACATAACACAGTTGTTCCAGGGTTCATTTATGATACAGAAATTTAAAAAAAAAAACAATGAAATAATAACGCAAGCCGCTACATCGTCTTTTAATGGACAGGAAAAATATAATTTAAAATACTCTTTATAGCTGCCATAATGTAACCAAGTAGGCCAAAAAAATGGTTGTCACCGTCTGGCATACCCAGTTTATTAGCATGAAGAGTGTGAGGCGGGGAGGCTTTATCAGGAGGGCCTTTCCTGAGGGTGGCCCAAATAATATGATATTGCTCGTTTGTGCGAAGCCCTATTTATCTATTAAAAAACGCCAGATTTACGGTCGAGTATAGGAAACTTCAGGAAGTTTTTATGTTGTTCCACCGAGTCCCGGGCCAATATAAGAGATTGATGCGTGTTATTTTAGTACGCCTCGCATATACCGGCGACGATACAACGTATTTAGATAACATTTAGTTAGGGTAGTTTATGCAGTTATAAGAGGCATTTAGAGTTTTGATTTTCATATTTTAAATACGTATAAATATAAAATATTCGAATAAAAATAGAAGAACAATAAAGATTTAAGCAAAAAGTTAAACCGTGGTAGCTCAGGAGCTAAAGGTTTACCCTAAATTTCACAATATGTAAGCGTCCCAGGTATTAATCCCGCAGGAACTAATAAAATTATTAATTGCAAATTTTAAGTACTGTTTTACCACGTGTTCGGTGGCAAGGAAACCTAAATGTCTGAGTAATAAAAAAACGGAATTGTGAAGTCACATACATACATTGGGGTAGCTTAGCGGGCACTATCAAGCCCTAAAATCCTCTCAGAAATAAGAGGAAGCCTGTGCCGAGTTGTGGGACGATTATAGATTGTAAATTTACTTTTTTAATTTTAAAACAAAGTAAATTTAATGGTTGAAAGATATAAATGCAGACTGTAATGTAAAATGTAAAAGCACGAATAAGAGTATGTAATTCTATAGTGATTTCTTATATTTACGCGAACACTACACATTTAAATGAAACTAATGAATGGGAATGTAAAATAAGTTAATATACGCGATAAAATCCGTAAAATTAGTTTCATTTAAAAGTATGTAATTCTGTTTCTTAGTCTTCTCTTTCCCGTAGGGGTAGGCAGAGACCACTTCTTTCCACTTGCTACGATCCTTACATACTTGTTTCGCTTCGTCCACTTTCATTATTCCCTTTATACATGCTCTTCGGTTTAGGGTACTCTTGACCTGGCCTTTTTTCGAGACGTCCCTGATTTGGTCTAGAAACGTCCGCCTAGGTTCCAACACTTTCCAACACTTTCATTCACATTCGCCTTGTACACTTTTTTCGTCAACCGTTCTTCATTCATTCTCTCGACATGGCCAAACCATCTTAGCATACCTTTCTCAATTTTTGTCACTACATCTTCTTTTCTTTTCATTTCTGAGTAATATAGTTAAAATAAAAAAACACTAAATGTTAATAAATATAGTTATCAATAAAATCAGAGTCAAGCTGCAGCTTATTGTGGCTGCAATACAAATGGGTCTGCTCTACCAAGGAAGGAACGCATTAGCACAGAACATAATATGCGTGAAAAAGCAGCGTAATGAAGTTGTTTGGTATGAGTCACTAGAACCGGAGCCCCTTTTCTTTTACTTCTAATGAGACATTCCATCTTAGCCCTCAGCTCTCTTATTTGAGAATAAGTATATGCAGGTGTCTATGGGCTACATTATCCATTTACCATCAGGTGTACTGTGCTAATTTGATATCTTTACTTCTCCATAAAGAAACATTTAATCTTAAACAAAAACATTAAAATTTAGTTTTTTTTATATTAAAACATTTCAGATCTTAATCTCCATCCATCCATCCATTACAGCCTATAAAAGTCCACTGCTGAACATAAGCCTCATGGGGGGATTTTGTCATAACTAGTTGCCACGTTTGGCAAGTGGGTTGGTAATCTCCATATAGATAGTCATTAGATATTATTTTAGCAACGCTGGAAAAGTCTTTCAAAGCCGATTATTATGGCAATTATTAATTATATAAATACAAACAATAATATTACACTTATAGAATACATATAAATTAAAATGAAGATAATTACCTAACATGATGGTTATTATATGAATATCTAGATATTAAACTTGTTTTAATTATTTTTTGGATTAGTTTTTTTGTTAGAAGAACCCGTCAGAAAGGAAAATCTTATTTGTTATTTTTAATATACCACCACCGGTTTTAATATTTAAAAAAAAAAACTTTTAAAGTATAGAGTTTTATAATACCACAGCAATAATTGCTTAGGTATATATACTTAAATGATCTCTGTCCAGGCTATATGTCATTTTTATTTGTCTTTATACCTGTTCAAAAAGTCTTTTTAATATTTAAAAACAATAATGTTGTAAATGTAATTATCGGTCAGTGATATAGTTTGCATTGTTATTGTAGGTGTGTGACGCATGTTTATTATCAACTGGGAATATTGGCTCGAAACATAGTGCTAAATTTGCCCCGGACACCCGATACTGTGGTATTATCTGCCATTATTTGTCACCGGATGAACAATGCGAGCGCCCTCGTAACATACCTACTATCTTACTCAATTTGTCACCAATTATAATTAAGTCCCTTAAAAATTCGGAATTATAGGTTATTTTTGTTTTGGTGATTAACTCAATATTTACGAATACTTATAAGAATAGCATAAACTTGGAATTTAAAACACAAATTAATTGTTCTGTAAGAATTACGTTTCAATACGTATATTTTTTTAATTAAAGTTACCTTAAATAATTCTAAACTTTGAATTGACCTACAATATGGGATATGTGAAATTATGATATATTGGTGTGTGGTGCAGTAATAGGTAAATTTTGAGCTATTTACAGCCTTTAAGTTAACCAAAAGACGTAATAGTCTTTT